GCTGCCGCCTCCGCCTCCACCTCCGCCTCCGCCTTCCCCCCCAACCGCCACCAAGCCAAATCTCGATCATTGATCCTCCTCGTCCTCCTCCTCTTCCTCCTCCTCCTCGGCCTCCCCCCCCACGATTTTCGCCATTGAAGGAAAGGTGACCTGAGGGGAACGGGTCCCATACTCTGGGGCTGCAATCAGGAGCAGTTTCTCATTCTGCGCAGCTGTGTGACAGTCCTGGGGCCCGTGGAGGCCCCCAGGAACCCGACACTGGCGAGCAACGTCCGGGAGCTTTTTCCTCGATCTTCGGTCATCCTTTTCCTCCTCCGCCTCCTCCCCCTCCTCCTCCCCCTCCACCCCCTCCTCCTCCTGTCCTCCACCCCTCCCTCCTCCAGCTCCCTCCTTCCTCCTCCTCCTCTCCCCTCCTCCTCCTCCTCCTCCCCCTCCTCCTCCTCCTCCTCCCTCCTAGATCTCGATTATCTATCCCATCCTAGGGCGCGCTCTGGCCAAAGTTTCGGCGAATCCAGCCGTGGCGACGCCAGGCCTGGTGGAGGCCCACAAAAGGCGGACACACATCAACAATCTGGAGCTTCGATCCTCGAAGTTCCTCGATCCTCGATCCACTTCCCCCCGCGCGAGCCTCCCAGCCAAGGTCCTGTCCCACCTGCGCCGCCACCAGACCGTTGCGGAGGTTGGGGGGCCGCCGGGGGACCACTCGCCCGACTTCCAGGACTTGGGGGGGGAAGTGGCGAAGACGAAGGCGCCGCCGACGCCGACGCCGCCGCCGCCGCCGCCGACGACGACGACGGCGGCGGCGGCGGCGGCGACGACTGCGACGGCGGCGGCGGCGGCGACCCCAGACATCTGGCGCCCCGACAATAGCGAGGCCGCCGGCCTGTCGCCGTTCTAGTCCCCTGTGCGCCCCCCGTCTCGGGCCTCGGGGCAATCGGCACAACGCCGCGGGGTCCGAAGAGCGGGCGCCCAGGGATTGAGTCGAGAGGTCCTGGGCCCCACTGCAGAAGGCATCGAGGCGTCCCAGACGAAGACGTCCTCCTCCTCCTCCTCCTCCTCCTCCTCCTCCTCCTCCTCCTCCTCCTTCCTCCTCCTCCTCCCCCTCCCCCTCCTCCTCCTCCTCCTCCTCCTCCTCTCTTCCCTCCTCCTCCTTTTTCCTCCTCCTCCTCCATCTCTCTTCTCCTCCTCTCCTCCTCCTCCTCCTCCTCTCCTCCTCCTCCTCCTCCCCCCTCCCCACCTCCTCCACCTCCTCCCTCCTCCCCTCCTCCCCTCCGCCTCCTCCTCCTCCTCCTATCCTCTCCTCCCCTCCTTTTCTCCCTCCTCCTCCTCTCCCCCTCCTCCTCCTCCCACCCTCCCCCCCTTTTCCCTTCCTTCCTCCTCCTCCTCCTCCTCCTCCCTCCTCTTCCTCCTCCTCCTCCTCCCTTTTCCTCCTCCTCGTCCTCCTCCCCTTCTTTTCCTCCCCTCATCCTTTTCCTCTCCTTCTCGTCCTTTTCCTGCTCTCCTCCTCCTCCTCCTTCTCCTGCTCGTCCTCCTCCTCCTCCTCCTCCTCCTCCTCCTCCTCCTCCTCCCTCCTCCTTCTCCTCCTCCTGCTCCTCCCTCTTTTCATCCTCCTCCTCCTCCGCCTCCGCCTCCTCCTCATTGTATTTGTCCTCCTTTTCCTTTTCCTCCTCCTCCTCCTACTCCCTCCTCCTCCTCCTCCTCCTCGTCCTCGTCCTCGTCCTCCTCCTCCCTCTCCTCCGTTTCCTCCTCCTTGTCCTCCTTCTCCTTCTCCAGCCACGTGGGCTTAGCCAAGAGTGCGCCGTGGCCGCTCTGCGCGCGGGCGCGAAATGGCCAGCACGCCCTGGAGCCGACGTGGGCCTCCACCCCCCACCGCCCGCGCCCCGCCACGAGGGCTGGCGGGAACGACGCGCTGCGCCTGCTGACGGCGATGCGCGCTGGTTGGATCATCGCGCCGTTCGTGCTAAAGGCAATGCGCGTGGTGGTCTTGAACCCGCTAAGCTTCGCGGACCGCGACAGAGAACTGGATATTGCGTGCGCGTACAATTCGGCCGACGCCATCATCCTGATCGGCACGCAGCGCCAGAGCAAGACAGAGACACCCTACACGGTAGAGGACCTACCCCACTGTCGCGCGGTACATATTGGTTGGAACAAGAAGGCGCGCCTCATCAACAAATCTTGCGGCATCACAATCTTCCTCAACGGGGCCACGATCCGGACGAAGCAGGTCATACAGATATGGGCACCACCGATGGCAGTACATTGGAGAGTGGGAGCCCTTCGACTGCGCAGCAAGACCTATGACATCACGTTCATCGGCTTGCACTTTCGCCCGCGGACCCGAAACGGACGAGACAGCATCGCATAGAGAACACCACCAACGCGACCGACGACTTCGTATCATCACCTCGCGCCCTGGACGAATAGCACCGACCATCTGCGTGGATGGAAATGACGACATCGGCATGGTGAACACAGCAAAGGGACCGCAGCACGTCGAACGTGAGGGCGTGGGCCCTTGCACCAGACAGCTGGAACATCACGCAGGGGCGAAAGTGAGGAATTTAGCCGAGAGCAGTGACACGGTCTGCATGGCCACGTTCTGCCCGAGTGGGCCCAGCTTCTTCGGCGCTGCCTACCAAAGAAAGCAGCACGTGCCATGGACCGACCACACCCTGATACCCAACATCATGAAGGAGCGGGTCACCAAGTTCGGCCAGGCGCACCGCTCGACCCTAAGAACGCAAGCTATTCTTGACGCACGACCAAGGGACCACATGGGCTTCATGGTGGACATTCACGTGGGCCTCGGCTACAAGGAGAGCGCGCCGACAGTTCGATGGGACTACGTGAAGATGGCCGAGACCCTGAGGAACGAGCAGAAGGCCCCTCCGTTCCGCGAGAAGATCGAGCGCGAGAGCGGCAATTACATCACTGAGGCGGGCTACAACGACACGCATGACATGCTGGTTGCGCGCGGCTCACTGGAAGGGGCATGGAAGGACCTAGTGCAGCTACAACAACAAGCAGGACAGGAGATGTGCAATGCGACGCCGAAGGCCATGCCGCAAGAGCATCAAAACCTCGCTGCCGAGCGAGCGCGGCTATTCCGGCAGACAGGAGAAACACGGGAAGCTATGACGGACGAGCTTGGGCCTGCATTTCGCCGCCACCGGATCTCGAGCCAATGCAAGAGAATGCGGAAGCGACTGCGCGAACAGCGAGAGCAGCCGCTTGGCGATGAACTCGAGGAAGCACACCGTCGCGGACAAACGCCAGAGGAATGGCGCATGTGCAGGTTGGTCGCGGGAGGTGGCATCGGACCCAGACGACGCAGCTTCAAGATGATTGCAGCCTGCGCCCCGACCAGAGACCAGTGGAAGACCAACATGGCGGAGCCTGCGAAGGAGGAGGGGGGGGGGCATGGGCGCTCAGGAGATCAGCGAGGACGACTTCATCAACGACGCCAGCGAACACGATCAAGCGGGACAACCGTCGCATCAGGACCTGGAGGAGGGCGCGGAGGACCACCAGCGAATCTGCAGGGCCCTCAGACGAACGAAAAGACGGCGAGCACCAGTGAGTGCCATGGCCAGTGCCAGTGGAGATCTGGCCCATCCTCCTGCCAACTAGGCCTGCCACGACGGAGCGCACCACTGGGCTCGGAGCTGGGGAACCCCTTCAAGACTTCCCACAACTTCGACATTGGCTGATTGGAGCACTGGCGCGAGTGCGGCAACACCAGCGGCTAGTTGCGTACTGGAACATGTCCCAGACGCACCAAGTCAGCAAGCAGAACCAGAAGGAGGGCGCCAAGCCGACGCGCTTGCTCCACGGCCTCAGATCCGTCGGTTGCGAAGACAGCACAACGGAAAGACCGAACAGCATCTGGCCGCGACCACGGCCACCCCCCTTCCCGATCGATAACGGGGGCGCTACGCACGACGGCACGTCTCAGCTGGAGGACGAGGAGCCATCGCATCTCGACGGTCGGCGCGAAGCACGACATGCAGAACGCGTTCGCGTCTGTCAGCCACATGCAGTTCGATGGGGGGGGCTCGACGCCTGCGTCGCGAACGCGACGCTGCCCTCCTCGTGCACCGACGCCGACGGGCCTGTCTTAGGATAGAGGCGGAGGGCGAGACTATCGTGATGAAGAACGAGGAAGGCAATTACATGGGCGACGCCAACGCGGCCAACGTGTTCCAGGAGGCCTTTACGATGCCCGTCCGACACTGGCAACAGCTCCACCACGCGAAATACCTTAATGAGCTCACGGCCTGCGACCCGCTATCCGATGAGCTCGCGGACCTCCCCCCCAGAGTCAACGAGGACGACGTGAACCAGACGCGCCGCGCAGTGGACCCGAAGCACACCAGCGACGTGATATTGCATTTTGACAAGTAGCTGGACATTGCGCTGAGAGGACTCGGAGCAGTACACAGCCACGGCGAGAAGGCGCCCCCCCACTATGTGGGACCAGGAGCGAACGCCTACAAGGAGCACGTCTTCTACGGCACGGCGACGCCCACCTACGACATCCCAGGTACGATCCTGAAGAGGGCCACATTCCATGGCACCATATTCACCTGCAGCGGTATATCCCGGCCCGAAGTGGAAGCGAGGTGCGCGGCGGCACGACGATGATGGCACCACATGGCGAAGTGTTGGGCGGAATGCAAGCAGTGGAAGATCAAGGATATAGCTTTCAGGAGCATGGAGTTTGGCGCCGCCACCTCTGGGCTCACGGGACTGGTCCTCAGCGAGGCCCAGACGGACAAGCTAGATCGACAGCGCCTCAAGTTTGGACGCGTTGGAGTGGATGTACGACTACAGGTCGACGATGGAAACGGCAGAGCACATGAGGTTATACGGACACCGCCAGCGCATCAGATATGGCTGCGGCTAGGGACGGTACCGATCGCAGTGGAACTACGCGTGCCACGGCTCAAGGAGTGGCAAGCGATCTCGAGAAGGCCTCAATGGCACAAACAGCAGCTGGCAGCAGTCTCCGGCGATCTGGAGCTAAAGATAGCGAAAGAAAGAATCGGGGTGCGCTTGGTTTCCTGCGGAGGCGATGACACCGCCGAGCACAGCGAGGTCCAACCCATGGGCAGCACAGGTCAAGGAATACATCGACTACCTGAGCAGGGCAGAAGAGGATTCGCAATTCCTGCCTCTGATTGGCGAGGACTGCATGTGCTTGTTCGACGCCGAGGGCGACGCCAACGCAGCCCTCAACCTGCTCGATGTCAGGCAGTCTCGCGGCGAGTGGCTCACGCGGATGCGAGATACACCATCACCGCCAACGCAACAAATGCTGGAACTAGGGGGGCGGGCTGATGGCGACTTTGAGTGCGAGCTGTGCGACGCGGACAGCTTGGCGCGCCAAAGGCGCTTCATCACATAAGGGGCCCTGCTCGCACATCAGCGCCAGGCGGGGGGGGGGGCAGCGCGGAGGGCAGTGGATGGCAGAACGGATCACATTAGCGAACGAATGCGTATCATGCGCGAGCACGTTGTAAGATTAACAGACGGCAGTCCGACACCTACAGCACGCCGACGAACAGGCGCGTCGTTGCGTCGACGTTTCCCCCTTCAACCGCTCTCTGATTGTGATTGAGGAGAGGCCGTGCCCCATCTGCCCCGATCTGGAGTCATTGAGAGGGCTCAAAGAGCTGCAAGCGCATCTGGCCACGCACCTCCCACAGCCCCCGCCTGAGTTTGAGTGGGACCTGCCCCCGCTCCAACACAGGCGCCACGGGGGGCCTCTTCGACCAGATCCCCGAGGGCGCCAAGGACGCCGCCGCGCCGGCGCAGCGGGACCGCAAGCGCGGAGGCGACAAGGACCCCGACGACCGACGCAAGACACGAGGACAGACGCAGAACAACCGAGTGGCAGGGCAAGAGGATATCGACAACCTGGAGAAGATGGACGTCGAGCAGCTCCGCGCCCTCGCCCCCGCCCTGACCAAGATGGCGCTCAACCTGGCCACGAGGACGAGGCAGGTGGAGGCCATCACCCTGGCGACTCACATCATCGGCACGAACGCGGAGCCCGCGGCACGGGCGAGGGCCCACGTGAAGGCGTGGATCGAGGAGGCACAGGGGACGCGCCAGTGCAACAAAGCGGACGAGATCGATAGCAAGCTGAATGCGATCAGTTGCGCCGCCCTCGTTGGCGTTACCGAGGGGCGCGGCTCACAGGGCAACATGATGGGCGCAAAAAAAAAAAAAACACAAGAAGGACCTGGACGCACTGAAGCAGTGGATCAAGGATATGCTTACAAAGACGGCGGCAGAGACCTTCACGCCTGTGAAAGTACAGGCCACATTCAAGGAGACGGAAGCGAGAATCACAATCGCGAAGCACAACAAGCTGTTGCCATTGTACGCCTGTTTGGAGCAGCTCGGAGCCACCAGCAATCACGGAGTTGCGCCCATGTCCCACCTGGAAAGGACCCTCAACACCCACTTGGACGATGGGTATTGCAGGGAGCAGGCGGCGTCGGAGGCCGCGGCGAGACTGGTGCGCACGACGGTGCATGTCGCGCGGGTGACGGAGACCGCCCAGAGGGAGATGCACCAACACCTCGTGACCACGGACGTGCACAGCGCGAAGTTGCTGGCGAGAATGAAGCGGGGCCGAGGCCGCTGCCGCGCCCCGCTGCGTCGAGCCCGTTTGGCTCCCAGGCGAACTCTCCTTCTCCTCCTTGCGAGCCTCCCCCTCCTCCGAG